CCTCCTCCTCCTCCTCCTCCTCCTCCTCCTCCTCCTCCTCCTCCTCTCCTCCTTCTTTTTTGTACAGGAATTAAAGCCAGGGGCACTGAGTCATATTCCTAGCCCTTTATTTTTTTTTTTTAAATTTTATTTTGAGACAGGCTTGTTAAGTTGCTTCAGGCCACAGTAAATTGCTGAGGCTGGCTTTGAACTTGTGATTCTCCTACCTCAGTATCCAGAGCCACTTGGATTACAGGAATGTGCTACTGTGCCAGGCAGGAGAGTAGATCTTAAACATTCTCACCATACACAAAGATATTAACCTACTTGGTGTGATATGTATGTTAATGTATCTAAAAAAATAACTTAATAATATTTGAATACATCAAAACAACACATTGTAAAAATATACACAACAATTTTTCTTAATTTATACCTTTAAAAAGCTGAAGGAGAAAATTTAGATTGTGGACAATGAGAATGCCACATGTTATCCTGAACCATAAGATTTCCACAATGCAAGATTGTGCAAATATTTCATATTTCATATATTTCCAAATAGTCTGTATTCATATGCACTTTTACTGTATGTAGACCTTATTATTACAAAAGTTTTTTTTTTTTTTTTATTTATACAATTTATGCTTCTTTATTTCATAGGTGGTAGGTTTAAAGACAAAGTAACTTAACCTATACTATTATTCTTGTCAGGGTGATAAAAGTATCACAGACAGAACAAGGACAGAATGAACAGAGTCAATGTAATTGCAAGCCACACAGGAAACAGACTGGAAGTTTTGGGTGTAGTTTTATTTTATAATGTAAGATAAAGTTTCTGAAATACTTGCAGCAAAGTCTTTAAAAAGCCTTCAAAGTTTGTATCTAACCATCAACCTACAGACAAAATTCAAGCATTGCTAAGTGGTCACTTTAGATTATTTTATTTCAGTTAGTATTCCATTCTTATTGATATGATTGACAGTTATGTGGGTGATTATGTAGTTCACTTATTTCAGATAAAGCTGGTTGATAATAGTACAAAAATATTATTCCATAAAAATCTATTTATTTGGAAAATAAATACATTGACCTTCCTAATGTACTTATTAACCACAAATGCTAAAATTAGATCAAGATTAAAAACAAACAAAAAAACATTTTCCATTGAACAACCTTTATCAGAAATGGTTTTCCAATATATTTTAAAGTAATGATTTCAAAAATTCATTAGCTTCAAGCCATTTTTGTATCCTATATTTCTAATTTCCTCGCATATTCTTCATATAGCTTTTTAGGCAACAGAGGTGCTTCACCCATATACTTTATCAAATATATTCAGCCATGATGGCTAGCATGGACAGGTCATTTAACAGAAAATCTGTTATATCCACTTTCTATATGATATACTTCTAACTGCCATGCAAACAGTTATATAAGATTATTACTTCTGCTACATAATTACACATGTGTTTGCTACAATTAATAAATTTATTTTCTTATGACATGGAAAGGCGTATGAACAAATAATAGAAGTTCAAGTATTTCACTTTGTCTTTAAAATAACGTGTGTGTGTGTGTGTGTGTGTGTGTGTGTGTGTGTGTGTTTACCCAAATATATATAGTTCTGCCTAGAGGAAAGAAATTTAAAAGACACATTATAGAAATTTTAAAATGTAATGTCATCTTTCCACAGGAATTAAAAACTACTATTTTATTAATATTTATGACAAATCTCACACCTCATTCTCAGATAAGGAAAGACTTTGGATTTATTAGAATTGTGATGCAGGAAATTATCACTGCATTGGTCTTAATTTACATGGCTGTGTTCTCTACAAGAGAATGTTATTTAGGTAGGCTTCATTTTACTTATACCTGTTAGTAAGAATTCTGTGAACTTGTAAGATTATTTGGTCATTATTTCAGGTATAGTGAGTACAAAGGTAATGCATGGATGGATGGATGGACCTATGAACCACTGGTAAAAAGTTGTATGCACCACTACACTGTTAATGCCGCACACACTTTTTGTTCTCTCTCCATTAGTCTCCTAACTGCCCCTCTCACATCTTTGTTTCTGAGGGTGTAGATGAGAGGGTTGAGGCTAGGAGTGACAACAGTATAAAACAGGGCAATGAACTTCCCTTGCTCTTGAGAATTTTCTGTTGATGGTTGGAGATATATGAAAAGGGCTGGAATAAAAAACAGAGAAACTACCATAAGATGGGATCCACATGTACCAAAGACTTTCTGAAGCCTGGTAATTGACTGCATCTTCAGTGCAGCCCGAGCAATGGCACCATAAGATGTTAGAATGAGGAAGAGAGGTATGAGAGCAAAAATAGAGCTTGTGAACATGAGAGTCAGCTCATTAATATGAGTATCAACACAAGACAATTTCAGGAGTGCTGGAACTTCACAGAAAAAGTGATCAACTTGGTAATGTCCACACAGGGGCACCCATAAGATAAAGAGGGAATGGAGTGCTGAGTTGGTAAAACCACTTACCCAAGAAGCCAAAGCTAAGGATTGGCAGAGTTGAGGGTGCATGAGGACAGTGTAATGCAAGGGTTTACACACAGCTGCATAACGGTCATAGGACATCACCATCAATAGGACACACTCTGTAGTTCCCAGTGCAAGAACAAAGTAGAGTTGAACAATGCAACCAGCATAAGAAATGGTCTTCTCTGGGCCCCAGAGGTTTACCAGCAATTGGGGAATGGAGCTGGTGGTGTAGCAGAGATCCAAAAAAGAGAGGTTTGAGAGGAAGAAGTACATGGGAGTGTGGAGACAGGAATCCAGGCATGACAGCATGATGATAAACAAATTACCTATCAGTGTCAACAAGTAGAATATCAAGATAACCACAAAGAGAATTACTTCCAGCTGAGGCCATTTAGAAAACCCCAGTAGAATGAAGTAACCTTCAGAACTAGCATTGAGTTTTTCCATCATTTTTGCTTTCTGTTACCTGAAAGGGGAAAAAGAATTACATAAGCTCAAAAAACAATATGGAAATGTGATAAATTTTTAAAAGCCTGCCACTGTGAGATTCTAGGACAATTAGAATATTAAGAGAATATTACAGTTAACAACATAAAAATTCTCAAGTTCATACTGATATAAATATAGCAAAATACATCAATGATGTACACTGAGCTAGAATCTAAATTAATAAATACAAATTGTGATCATTTTAGGAATACATAAGTGGATACAAAATTGGTAAATAATAATTTGATGAGAAGCATGTTATTTACATAACCTGAAACATCTCTCTACCAATTACTTGATAATTACAAAGTGAAAGACAATGAATTTTGCCATTGCAGAACATGGTGGACACCTCCATAACCATGTGATAAAAGTCAACATCAACATTGTTGAGACAAATCAACATTATGTGGCTGCTGATGTGATACTCTCAAATGGACACAATATCACTTCAATCATGTTCCCACCAAGAATACATAGCCTAATATGAATAATGAAGGAACTTGGCACAACTCAGAGTGAAACAAAATAGCTTACTTGTAATACTCAAAATGTCAAAATCAATTAAGGCAATGAAGATTGAGGGAGTGAACCATGATAAAGGAGACTGATGAATTAAAGTATCTAAATTTGTGATCCTGTACTTGAAAATAATTGCTATTAACAAAATTAGTGAAACAACTGAAGAAATCTAAATGCAAACTATAGATTTAACAATATCATCTCCCTTTT